GCAAGGCTCTTTTCCCACCAGGGAGCAGCAAGAGTCTCGTATGGGAGAGGGTATTACCTGAGGGGAAAGGGAGAGAGGTGGGGAAGGGTAGAAGAACCTGACCTTAGACCTGCAGGTGCTGCCTGGCCAATGACCTAACAGCTGACCTATTTTTACCACTTGCAGGGGAGAGCCTGGGCCAGTGGTAGGCATTTTTAAAGGGCTAGTGGCCTGAGCAAGGCTGGTTTAAGTGAGGGGAGAGTTCCTTGGGTCTCTTCTAGTTCTTGAATCTGTGTTTGGCTTGGGGATGCCTAATAGCTTCACTGTTCCCCTTTCTGACAACCAGCCCCTTTTCTCCTCTTGATCCACTTTGAGTGAAATACGATGGGTCGAGCAGATGAACAGAACTAAGGGACTTTTCTCTGTCTCGGCCTCTTGAGTTGCAGCAGGCCCTATGGATTTGGGCCCATATGCGCTTCCCCAGGCCGGGTCCCACCCTTGGCCCATCAGCAGCTCCGCATTTCTGCCTGGCTCCCAACAGGGTGCCTTGGGAATGTGGAGATGTTGGGGAGGAGAGTGGACTTAAGGAAGGGGAGGCGAAGGGAGAGGGAAGAAAGAAGGGCCATGGATTGGAGAGGGTATCGGAGTTCTCAAGGGAGTAAGGGCTGCCCGGGCAGCAGCTCACGGCGCCCCTTCTCTCTGTCTGTACCCGCGTGTGTTGCCTCGGCGGCGCGGGCAGCGAGCGATGTGCCCCAGGACGGGCTGCTTCTGCACGGCCCCTTCGCGCGCAAGCCCAAGAGGATCCGCACGGCCTTCTCGCCCTCGCAGCTGCTGCGCCTGGAGCGCGCCTTCGAGAAGAACCACTACGTGGTGGGCGCCGAGCGGAAGCAGCTGGCCGGCAGCCTCAGCCTCTCGGAGACGCAGGTAATAATCGCCCCAAATGGGCGGCCCGCGCTCACCTGGGAGCCCCCATAGAGGTGGGAGCGGGCGGGTACAGGCGTGGCCTGAGTCCTCCCCTGGCCTTCCCTGGAGCCCTCTCCTGCCCAGTTCAGGAGGCCACCCGGCGGCGCTCCCGCGAAGCCCGTCTTTAGAGCGCCCGGAAGGGTTTTAATCCAGCCCTAAGGACTCACTAGAAGTGGGGTCAGGCCTCAGACCAAGGCCGCTCCGCTCCCAAGCCCGCAGGAGGAGCCGGGTTACCCGTCACTCCCGGGCGCACCAGTGGACACGGAGCCATCGCAGCGCTGTGATCACTGCCCCCTTCTCCCGCTGCTCTTCCCGGCGCTCACGCTCCGGGGGATGCCCAGGCCTTCCCGCACTGGCTTTGCTGCCGGTCACAGGCAGACCTGGCAGAGGCCTCGACTGCCCACTAGCGCATGCGGTGTGGGGAGAAAGCCCACTGTCCTTAGGGCAGACACAGCAGAGACAGGGGCTAAGCTAGGGAGCCGCCAGCCCTGCTTGGCCCTGTCTCCTCGCAGGCACGCTGGCAGGGAACCGTGGAAATGGCTTTGCAAATGCGAGGGCATCTGAGAATGTGGAAAGGAGATTCTGGGTGTTCGGGTCCTGGTTTCAGTCGCCTGAAGGGCTGTTGAGCTGGGGAGAGACTATACTTCGGTGTTGGTGGGGTTGAACGGGGTGAAATTACAATCATATTTTTGTTATCCATATTTTTGTTATGGATAATTTTTTTTTAATTTGAAAGAAGTAGATGAGAGTTATAGGGAAGCAAATTTGATTTACTGTAAGAAAAGACTTGGCCATTATGAATGCTGCCTGGAAGCACAGCCTAAGCTTTCCCTCTGCCCAAGTAGTCCTGCTAGAGGGGCGGGTGCTGCCCTGGGGAGGATTTCAGTGTCCGCCCTTGTCAATGCCTAGATTTGCAAATGAGAGAGGTCTGCAAGCTGGCTAGCTTTTCATCCTTCACTCCGCTTTCCTGTACTACTGGCTCCCTACCCTCCACTACCCTCCACCACCCTCCACCTTAGTCCATGACTAGGAGAAGGCGCAGGGCTGGGCTGGGGTGTAGCGGGGCAGCTTAGGGTCTCCTGGGGAAGCAATGAGGGGCTTAGCGGGAGAGTCCAAACTCTAACTGCCTCTGACCTCCAGACCTCTCAAGCTTGTCCTCATGTCGCATTTTGGTACCTACTAAGGTCCTATCTGTCTGATGCTCCAAGGCCCCTGTCTCCGCTAAAAGAGATATGATTTGCTAGCTGAGCTGTTCTAACCATAGAAATAAAGTGTACAAAACGGAGTTAATTCTAAAAACGTTTTTTAAAAAAGATATGTGTTTAAAAACCCACTTAAAAAAATAATACCCCCTTTTCCCTTCTGGCAAACAGCATTGTAAATTTGTCTAAAACAAGGTGCCAATTTATGAATGGTGTTTACAGTTAACTTCATTTAAAAAGTACTAGTTATTAAATTTTAATTGCAGAAGTATTTATAATTCCACCGCCCACAGACGAACACTTGTTGAAATAATGTCATTGTTTTAAACTTTCAATTTTTTAGCTTGGTGAGAGCACTTTTAATTAATTTTCTTACACTGAATCTAGCTGCCTGTCGGTATTTGCTCCTAACAATGCCAGGTAGTAAACATGATTGTTTCTTTCATTTTTACGGTAAGGTAGTTCACACATATTTAAAACAAACATTTTAAACAGTGTCACTATCAACACTCACGCCTAATCTTGTTCCGTCTATATAGGTGAGCTGGTTTTAGCATACAGAACACAAACTAGCAATAGAACCACAGGAGGTTTGAGCCTGAGAAACCTCTTTGCAGAGGCTGTTTCCAGGTGACAGAGATGG